CAAACTTATTCTAAAAGCTGATCTCAAAGGGAATTAGTGATCAGATACTACTTTTACTTAATGATGTTTGTTAGTGAAACTCAAGGAATTGCTAAATCCTTATAGTCTAGGATGCTTGGTGCCTGCTGCAGGAGCAGTCAGGCTACAGGAATCCGCACCGTTTGGATATTCACTATGATTGTGATAGTACTTTTCTTTTTTGATCACCTGCAATACTCACATTTCCCCCAGATTACTGGCCATGATTTCTGTCATTGCGTTGGATGAATTCTTAAAAATACAGTTTGCTTTACTTCTGGAGAAATGGGTATGTATTTCCACAGAAAGATTTGCACAGTAATGTTCATAGCAGTTTTATTCACAAGAGACCACAACTGGAAACAGCACAGTTGCCTCCTAATGGTGAGTAGGTAAAGCAATTGTGGAATATCCCTATGGTGTAATACTATTTAGCCATTAAAATAAGATACGGATACACTTGATAACATTAATGAACCTCTACACTGAGCTAAAGAAACCAGGCATAAAAGAGCACACTGTATTATTCCACTTATATGAAATCCTGTCACTGGCAAAACTGGTCTATAGTGATTGAAAGCAGCTTGACAGGTGCCTCAGGCAGAACTGAGAAAAGGGAGAGGCACAAGTCAGAGAAACTGACTGCAAGTGGGCAGGGGAGGTTTTGGGGGAAACATAGGAAACATACTGCATCCTGATTAGAAGGAGGTTACAGTTATACTTATCAAAACTTGAATTGTAAATATAAAAAGGGTATAGTTAACTATATGCGTATTATATTTCAATAAGACTTACTTTTTTCTGGGCCCTTGCTGGTGGTGCAATGGGTTAAAGAGCAGTACTATGTAGCTATCACAGCCACTATAGCACAAGTTTGATCCCCTGCCAGGGGAGTGACTCACATGGTATGGCAGACCTCTCCTGACCTGCCCGCTGCTCCCCTCAGCAGTGTATTTCAGTACATCTGCCTGTTCTGCTCCCCAATCTCACTGGTGAATCTTCTCTCCCCCTGCACTTCTGGCCTATACCGCAGTTCTCTATGTATAATAAATAAATCTTAAAAAATGAAATATTTTTTTCTTTATGAAAAAATTTAAAATAAAAAGCAAAATGTCATTGGTTTCCTCAGCCACAGTGGCCTGGTTTTCATGATGATAGGAGAGCAGCTCTTCCCCAGAGCCCTCTGAGTGATCACAAGCTTAGGGCCGCAGGGAAGGTTATCCTTGTCCAGTCCCAATCTCTGAAAAGGTGTAAACAGAGGACTGGCTCATAATAACACTCAGCTGTGAGCAGAGTGCATCTCTGGGGAAAGCCTGTACTGTTAGAATAACACGCAGCCCACAGCTGGCAGGAATCATGATGAATCATGGTGCGTTTATAGAAGCGAAGGGGTTGTGATTCACATGTGTCACAGTTGATGGGAATATTAAGGGCTCCCTTCCCCAACAGTAGAAAAATAGAAAAATCTCTAAACATTGCATTTCTTTAAAAAAAATGCTACTTCAGCTCCTCCCCATTGATTCACTTGAAAGAAATATCTGTCAGGTTCTGTATTTGGTTAAGTCAAATCTTTTCTCAGAACAAGACAGTGTTGTGTGTAGGAATATTGCCTAACCCTTGTCATCATTTACTAAGGGTAGACAGAAGACCTGCTTTTCTTCTTGTCACGAGAACCATTGCTCCTGTCAGTTAAAGGCAGCCACATACCCCTTTCTCTGACTGGTCTTCCTGACTACCTTAGGATCCAGCAGGGGAAGGTGGGGCTGAATTGTAATTGAATGTTTTTGAATAGACTCATAAGACCAGCAGGTAGGTATCAGAATGGGATTCTAGAGATTTTTCAGGGACTTCATGTGTTCATCAGAATTTTATCCACTGTCAGTGTGGGCTTATTTTAAGCCATGGGGAGAGAAAGTAACAATAAAGATTGGAGCAATGCCTGTCTCTCCCAAGCAAGATGGTTAAGATGCCCAAAGAAGGGCCCTCCCTGGTGGCACAGTGGGTTAAAGCACAGCACTGAAAAGCTAAAGCCACTTTCGCATGAGTTCGATTCTCGCCTGTCCTGGAGGTGACCACATGGCGTGGCAGACCTCTCCTGACCCGCCCGCTGCTCCCCTCAGCAGTGTACTTCATCGATCTGCCTGTTCTGCTCCCCACTCTGTCTCTGGTGAAGCCTCTCACTGCCCCTGAGCCTCTGGCCTGTACCCCAGTTCTGTATGCACAAATAAATAAATCTTTAAAAAAAAAAAAAAAAGGATGCCCAAAGATAACCTGAGATCTTCCTGACGAGAAACATCAAATGATAGAATCCAGGGTAATCACACCCCCTGGAAGGTGAGAAGGGGAAATCAGGAATATAGAGAGTCAGAGAGCCTCAGATTTCTTATTCACATTTTGATTAACTCCTAAATCATGAATACAAGGGGCAGATTTCAAACTGCCTAGCAAAAGATAAGAAATCTGAACTGCAATTTAAGCTGCAGTTGTACATAAAAGGCATACAGTTTTAACCCAAACAAATTTGTTTCCTTGTTATAACAAAATTCACATTTATTGGAGGAATATAGCAGAATCCACAGTCTTCACAACACAGCATTCATAATACCCAGGATACAATCCAAAAGCATTTAACACACTAAGCAGGAAAATGTACCCTATCCTCAAAAGAAAAAAATCATCAGTGGAGGTTGAGCTAGATGCTGGAATGAGCAGAGAGAGAAGGCTTTTAAGGTAGCTGTTATAATTATGCTCAGTGACATGAGAAAAAAATTGCTTATAATGACTTATTAGATAGAAAATCTCAGCAAAGAAATGGAAATGATAAAAAGAACCAAGTGGAAATGATAAAATTGAAAAATAAAAGTTAAAATAGATTCTCAGATGGGCTTAATTACAAAATGAAGCTTAAAGAGAAAAAAAAATTATTAATTTAAAAATAACCCAGTAGAAATGATCTGAACTAAACAGGGCTACTTCCATTTTACAAGGTGTAGCCTAAGTTTGTTGTCAAGCAAAACACAATGTGAAACCAAATGGATTGTCAAGCGAGTTATTTACCTGAAAATTTGCCACATTATGCATTGTCTGGCAAGAGGTGCTAACAGTCAGCCCCTGTTTATTCTAAAACACACCTTGTGTCAGTTACCAATCCATTATCACAGATCCAATGTCCTTTCATATTCTGCCCTGTGATGCAGGCAGGGGCTGGTTCTCTGCAAATTACAGTTCATTTTTCTATTAGCTTGTTCCTTGTTAGGTTTTGCCACCAGGGGGCATTAGAAGGAGATGAAAGCCTGGAGGCCTAAGAAGATACTCCTTTCTGCTTGCCATTCCTGTTTACATTTCCCGACTTTGGGAGGGGGAGGGGCGGGGGGCATCTATCGTTTAGGACGTAGGTATAACAATCCTGCACTGTTTTCCCTCTGCCGCAGTGATAGGCCATGAGGCCAGTGAAATGGGTCACCTGGGGGTGCTGTGTGCCTGTTTTCCTGCTGAATTTGACAGTGGAGCTTCTGAAGCAGGAGCTATTGCAGCTACAGACCCACAATGCCTGAGCCCGTAAATTCTTCTTCAGGTCTGTTCAATCTGAACTGAATTTTCTGTCAAACAATATAAAGAAAAAAGAGGTATTATAATAGAGGGTTGTATGGGATCTCAAACAATTATGTAGTATGCATGTGTGTGTTACCATGCGTGGCTGTGGGTAGGGGAGGATGGGAGGGGTGGGTGAGGTTTGACTTCTAGGAGGCATCTGAGCTGAATCTTAAAAGACTTATAGGAATGTTCTAGGCAGAGTGGCAGGTCTGTGCTTGTGTTCTGACTTCGGAGTAGGTGAAATTCCAGAAGCCTTTAGGATCTTTGTATGTGTTCCAGTGCTTCCCCAAACATCTGTTGAGGGATAATGCTTTCAGAAGACATTACTAAATAAATGTGCAGAGAGAAAACTGAGCAAAATTCCTGAGAACAAAACTGTTCTACTTTCTGCATTGCTGTTTTTCTCCGAACCTTTAATATGCTAATGTGCTTCCAACGACAAAATCCGTTGTTTGCAGAGAGCAAATTAGTTCTCTGTTGAACAGTTTGGGAAAGTTTATAAAGGGCACTTTTCTATGATGTGTGGAGTAATAACTCATTCAGTAACACATTCTGCCATCTTAGGTCTAATTGATCGCACTGTCATCAAATCAAGTTAAGTGGTACCAAAGACAATGTTAAAACAATTGGGTAAACTAGAATGGCATGATGGAGTACTATAGTCTTGCCATAACTCAGTCTTCCTCTGTTTTGCTCCTGAATCATTATGGTTCAGGCATCATTCCATAGTTCATTGGAAACTAAGTGTAGATGACTTGGATTCGATCAATGTGCCAATAGAGTGCATGCATATTGCCTCAGATAGTGGAAACTTCCAAGAGCTAAACCAATGTTTATTCATTATGCCATGGGAATTTACAGAGACTCAGCAAGAGGTCACTCAGATAGACAGGCAGTGGCAGGAATAAGGAGTGGGAGTTTATCCTCAAGGCCATAGGAAGCCTTTGGAGCTTCCAAACTGGGGGGTTGCAATGACCAGGTATATTTTAGAAAGTTCATTCACAGGGTGAGGATTTGACATGGGGTGGTTGCTAGAGACAAACTGGCTAGGAAGCTATTTCATTAATGGGGGAGGAGTAACTGAAGAGCTGAATTAGGGGAATAGCAACAGGAATGGAGAGAAGGCTTTGAGAAATATTTAGTAGGTGGACTTGAATTACCTAGTTTTGGAGAAGCTGTGGGAGTAAAAATCAGGGGTGGGTGTGTGGGAGGAGTGAAGTGAAGGATGACCCATGACCTCTGGCTTGTGTTGACAGTCAGTGACTGGCACAACAATTCCTGGACAGCCTGTCAGAGTAGAAACAATGCATAAATGAGCTTAACTTGAATGGTCCCTGTTAACTGTTAGTACTATGACCTTGTGCAAGTAAGTTAATGTGTCTGAGCCTTAGTGTCTTCAGTATACAGTGGGATAATAGTGCCTCATATCTTGCAGGTATGTGACTGTCACGGGAGGTCTTCAGGGCCCAGCCACTAGACAGATAACTGTGCCATGCTGGGACTCACAGCACCAAGCCAAGTCAGCCCCTATGTCTTGCTGGGGGCTGAGGCTGCCATCTTGTTTAGCTTTTAGTTTTGCTCTGACCTTTGAGTGGATGGGCCCGCTGCTTTAACATCTTCATGAATGGACAGTACAAGCTACAGGAATATGATCATGGAAAGGAAAGGTAGGTCTGTGTGACTGGCTGCCTGAGTTTTCCTCTGTAGGAGAAATGTGATAGTGCAGATTCTCAAGTTCAGCCCCCAGAGGTTAGTGTCAGTAGGTTTGGACGAGGATCCAGGAATGTGCATTTCATAAGCGCTAAGGTACCTGTGTTCCAAAGGCCAGATTTGGGAGAGAAACAAAGAGGGGTTTGTTTTTTTTAATCTCCTTTCCCCATCTTTTCCCTTTAACACACCTGCAGACCTTCACTCATGGAGGCATTGCTCTTTCCAGCCCTGTTGACCTCTGAGTGTGTGTTCCTATCTGTTAGATCTTCATCTACCGGAATCTTCGAGACTTAAATTGGGGGTGCTCCCTTCAAGGGAAGGTTTCCACCCGCCTCTACCAAGAGGCACTGCCAACTTGGACCCACTTAGACCTCTTCTGAGTTCTGACGCAATGGAGAGCTGGCCCAAGTTAGAGTTTGCCTTGCAGTGCTGCTGCCGTCATCTGCACTCTGGCCAGTTCTGTACTTCCTGACTTGATCACCGCTTCCGGTCCTGATTCCCACAGATCGTTGGCTCCTTCGTGTGGGGAATGGCCCCCTGGCAGTTCCTCCTGTTTCTACAAACCCAGCTTTACGTCAGCAAGTAAGCTTTCTCCAAGATGGAGTTGGCAGCAGGAGTGCCCGCCAGGCTATTGAGTACCAGTTGAAGCCTATTTATTTCCAAAAGGAGATGTTCTTATTTCTGTGAGCAAAAAGGGTAATAAATACAGCCGTCGTGGGAGTGATTCGTCAGGCACTGGCAGTTTGGCATTCCACACTGGAGGAGGGTTGAAAGAACAACATGCCTGCTTCTCGTTTCTGTGTTTCTTGTCATGCAATTGCCAGCGGATTGCATTGTATTCTGTCCTGGGTGTCTTGTTGAGGCCTGACAAGGCAGGAAGAAGGTCATGACAAATTCTACAACCCTGTTTGTGTTCGTACCTGACTTTCCTTCCTTCCCGTGGAGGAGAAGGGGGAGTCCCTTTGTGTCCAAGCCCAACTCCACCCTGTGTGTTTTGGATTGCAGTCCGCTAATTTTCCCAAGGACTTCTCTGCCTTTTGGAAGACTTTCTCTGCTCTCCTATCAATGTCTCCCTCTCAGATAGGTAATTCTCATCCCAAATGTGTTCTATGTCTCATCTCTGAAAAACCCACCACAACCCAAGCTACCCTAACTCACTTCTAGTCTCCTTTTATAACCAAATAGCTCAAAATGCTACTTTCATTTTCCATTTTTTTTTACACGTTCCTTTGTTTTTGTTTTTTACTTTTATTTAAAGCAGAGGCTTCACATACTTACTTTAAAGAGTCAAGTAGTTCTGAAAGACTCATCACGGAAAACAGCAGTCCCCTGCACCCTTCTCCCATCCGGGAAGCTACTTATAACTCCTTCAGCTGAGATTTTTAGGTAATTAGCTGTACTTTTATATAAGTGCTAGCACTGTGTTCATTCTTGAGCTCTTGTTTTAAGCAGTATCTCCTGGCTGCCTCAGAAGAAAACGAAAGCTTAATCCTCATGCTTTCCCTTTCCAAAGCACACAGATATACCCCTCCCACCTCTGCCCTTCCTGTATGGTTACATCACATTTTTACTTAGTTCAGTAATCAGTGTTTACTTTATTATGATTAGATGTTGAAGGCTGAGACATGGAGTCTTGATTACATTTTTCTTTCTTAATTTTAATTTTTTGGGGAATAAATGTTCTTATTTGCTGTTTTCTATATACTGATTACCAACTCAACTCTAAATTTCCATTATTTCACTCTGCTCTCAAAATGTCTAGAATTATGCTGTCAATCTGTCCTCTTAAAGAAATCCCTCCCACGGCCAAGCTGGTGGCTTAAGTGTTAAGTCTCAGAGCTCTCACTGCTGTGGTCCCAGTTCAATCCCAACCCAGGAGCTAACCCACATATGACACAGCAGAACTTTCCTGTCCTGCCCCCCCTTGACACCCACCCCTCCCACATCTTAGCAGTTAGTTTGCCTCTTATGTTCCCCAGTTGGCCTCTGGGGAATCCTCTCACCCCCCTACACCTCTGGCCTACACCCCATTCTTCTACTAAATAAATTAATTTAAAAAAAAATAGAAAAGTGACATGGATTTAAAAGAAACTGAAATCCAAATTATTCTCTCTTATAATAAAATCATTTTCATTGCTTTTAAAACAAAATCCAAAGGTGTTAACCATGGTCTACACCAGACAGCAAGGCTAATCTCCCCAAAATAACCCTTGTTATTTTTCTGGGTTCTACCACTTCTGGGTACCAGCATCTCCTGCTAGGACATGAAGTCCTAGAGGGGCCCAAACACGCCTCTCTCCTATTCTTGGGCATGCTCCATCGGACTAGTAGGGTGCCAGAGGAGTGAGATTCATGCCTTCATAGGAGACAACTTTGAGCAAAACTAATTCTAATTTTGTTGAGAGTTTCCTGCTTTCTCTAGAGTTTGGTTGATAGGGGAAGGGAGTTTGAGAGGCTGCAGGGGAGGGAATGAGTGGGGAAAGTGGTGAGTCTGAACAAGAGCACTAAGCCACAGTAAGAACCATCTCTTTCTGGCAGCCAAGACCTTGCTTTGGAGCAAGACTGCTTCTCTGCTCTCAGCAGGCTTCTCATTCTCTTCAGCAAGCCCACCCTGCCTTTGTCTAGATAGGTTTAGAAATATTTGAGCAAGTTCATCTGTATCCCCCACACACCATGTTTCCCCCCAAGAATGTATATTCTTGAGGAAACAAGAGAAAGAAATGTAGTTCTTCGGGAAGAGGCTCATTCAGCAAGGTGCTTCCCTTCTTTGAAATGCTTTGAGAAGAGTGAAAGCACCTGCCTGTGGCCGGTGTGAGAGCAGCAGTTCTCTGAGATTCATAAGAGAGTTTCCTGCTGGTAACTATGAACTTGAAATACACCAGTTAATTCAACCACATGAATGAATCTGTCAGGAGGTAAAATCAACAATGCAGATAATTCAAACATCCTACCAGCCCACACATCATTTTCACTCACTCATTTCTCCCCAGCGCAGCCAGGGTAACATCCTATGCAACACAGATAATACACAAAATTGAATCATAGTTCTTATATTCGTGGCTTGTTCCTGATTTGGTCATAAGACAGTTTGTGAGACAGTTCTAAAGTGTGGAGGGAGTATTTTCACCCTATTTTCAGTAACCAATGCTTCTCAATTCTAGACAGGATTACTCACAGCACAGACACTGATTGGAACTGGGAAATATCTCCTGACGTCCTTAATAATCTTCACTTTCCTCCCATGAACAGTAGCACATGGAGCTG